GCTCATTTGCATATTGAAAGTTTCTTTACACAGTAAGTTTATTATTAATGCACTCCACATGGTCTTTAAGACACCATCCCGAACTTTATACTCCCAAAATATAGACAGGCACAGATGCACACACAGAAACACATGTGCATGTATTGGTTACCATGTCCTGAATAGTCTATCATATTTTTGTATACAGTGGTACCTAGACACAGATTTTTGGGGTTATCAGTCATATCAGACATTCCACTGTGTTTACAGGTGTTACTTGTAAGAACAAGGTGAGCAGGATTTGGCTTGTATTTGGGGATGATAATGCCTTCTGTGTCAAGCAGTTCAGTTCAGTTTTGTGTTTGCAAAATTAATTTACAAGATCTTTGAGTCCAACCACCTTCACAAAGAATAAGCTCTATAGCCACTGTAGTTTCTTTTATGAAAGCACTTTGTGTTTTATTTATTCCTTCAAGATAATGATTTTGTCCATTTCATCTGATAAAATTATATCGGGGCCTGATCCTGTCACGGTTGTATACTTAAAACTTCAGTTAATGCCTGTGAGCCAAATCCTGCTCAGCTTACCCACATGGGTATCACCTGGCCTGGTTGATTTTACTTCCCAGTTATAAATAAGAAGCAGATTCCTTATGGTTAATTGAGTCTTTAATATCCTCATAAAAAGCAATATGAGATCAAAATCAACCCTAGCAGGATTACATATACTCACAAAAACTAGCCAGACTTCACCCAGTGGAAATCTTGGGCATACAAAGTAAGAATTGCGATTTATCAGAAGATGTTCCCATTTCAAATTTCTCTGTTACAACATCTCTGTTCAAGAAATCCTGTAACAGTTAAAAATTCTTGCGGTTTCCAAAAGATTTTCAACATCAACAAAAGAGTAATGTGTCAGATAGGCTTTGTATGCCAGGAGACTCTTGTCCTTTCTGTTGCTCTTTTCTAGATTTAGCAAAATTCAATGGTGGTGCTAAATCATTTTTTTTTTAACTTTCAAGGGAAAAAACACTGGTAAAATTGTGTTTTCTAGGGAAGGCTGTGTGTGTAAATGAGAAACAGCGGATAGCGGTGGAGTGATCTCCTGTGGCCCCGCTAGTACAAGCTTTCCCCATATTGTCTCCTGCTTTTATATTAATTACAACTTGCATTATCAGCTGCGAGTGTGTAGCCCAGCAAATAGAAAATACTTTCCCTGGAGACATAGCTTCTTGTATCTATTTTCCATCTCCTTCTATTGTGCCCTACTCGGTATTCACTGCTTTTCTCCTAGTAACACTGCTCTTTAACACAATTAGGTAAGAGCAAGAGGAGTACCATATTTGACTCCCAATTATTAAAACTACTGGGAATAGATACAAGTGTGCTGTTCACTTTCTGTGGTATCTGGCATTAGTTTAGGTCATACATGTGTGAAATCTTTGTAGTATGCATATGTATACAAAATAGGTAATTGCATTTTGGCAGACATCATCCACACTCTTCAATGTGTTTCTGCAAAGTATATTACTAAACTTGCAAGAAGAAACAAGAAGCCACACTAGCAGTTTGTGTAATTTATCTAAAGCTATCTGTTAGATTTATTTTTCTTTCTTTTTTTCCCCCCAGTGTGATGATTTAATATAAATTTCATTGAAACTAACAGAAAAATTGCAACTAACATCAGTAGGCTTTAGGCCAGGATCTCTTTAGGTACCCAAACTGTACTGATAAAGTGTTTCCAGTGAAGCAAATTTTAGATGTGTCATTTGGTCCCAGTTTTGGATTTTTTTGTGAAGACATGCATAAAACAACTACTTACGATTAGTCATTTGGCCAAGAATTTTTTTGTGAGGGATGCAAGGTTGGAAACAGTCTAGGGGAGAAAAAGAGAATTTCGCTGGCATATAACAATGATCTCAGTCCAAAGCAAAAGAATGCTGCCTTTTTATGAGTGTGTAAACTCCACCCCTAGAATTATTTGTAACTTTTTATAATATTAAAGCCTTGCTATTTCCCTCCGTTTCAAATTTCTCCAATATTCTACTGTCACATCTAGTAAATATCTTATCTTATATTTTCTGTCCTTCAACAAAATTCTGCCAAATTGCTTCCTCAAGAAAACTGTGTCACAAGAAATATATTTAATTCCCAATCAATACAGTCAGTCTTTCTAAAAGAGGATCTACAAACTGAGGTCAAGAACAACTCAGCCTGGTAGAGACAGCAAGTGTTTTCAGCTGTGGGAAGTCTCATTCAGTTATGGTTTTGAAACAGAAAGGCTGACCTAGCTTTTGAAATATTGTATGATAGGTTTTGATGACATTTGCCTTAAAACATAGCTGAACTGTTACCAGTCAATTATTGTAATTTTCATATATGTGATAAGGAGCTCCAACAGCAGTTAATGTAAGAAAGCCTGCAGTACACAAAATTACCATAACTCACGGTGTTCCCTGAAAAGTTTAGCCTAGGTGAACATGTTGCAATTATTACCTTTTCTAAAAAAAGGTTCCAGCATGATGCTGTTGGAGGGCTAAACTCATGCTATGCTATTGTTTCTTTCCTTTTTCATGTATTTCTTTAGCTCTTTATCTGATTACCATCCGGCAAACAGCTGACGCTAAGAGGCTGCAGAGGGCTGAAGAGCTCCTGTCTGCTGTTTGCCTTCAGCTTGAAGCTATTTGAGTGGCTTCCTAACTCAGAGATAAAAAGAGAAGCTCATAGGCAGAACTGTGTTTTAATCCAAGCTGTAAAGAAACTTGCTCAGTTTTTGTATTTTATTTCCATATGAACTTTTCGCTAACCTTATTTTCAACTTTTTGTTCTTTCTAATAACATCTGGCCTGCTTCAGCTTTCAAGACTTCTCATCTTTCTGTGTTTCTCTCCACCTGACTCTGTAAAATGATGGTAAAATGTGGTAGTTGGTTTGTTTGCTTGTTTTGTTTGTTTTTCCTTATTTTTTTCATGAAATTGTGGGGGTTACAGTGTTAATAGTGATTTCTAAGACTTAATACAATAACCTTGATGAATATAAAATCTTATTGTTTGGTGGCTTTTTTTCCTGTTGTAATTCTGTGTGAGGAAAAATAGATCAGTCTTCTAGGTTTTGGAGGGGGTGGTAATTTTGTGCCATAAGTGCCGTTGTGCTGACAGGTTATGCAAATTTCAGACCCTAACCTGTCTTCTGATTTTACTCCTATCTTCCTGTCATGGAACCATGTACGTGGGTGCATGTGTGTGTCTGTCTTTGGAAGGCGAAGGTTATTTGGATCCTTCTTACCCTTTGGTCACATGAGACTTTTCTGGGAATCTTTTGAAGTTATGGGTTCTTTCCTTTGTCTCTGCTGTGATCCGGGTCAGACCCGTCAGATTAATGTTACTGGGTATTGTAGCAAGCCGTTATTTGGCAGTTCTATTCTGCATGGCTATAGAGCATGTGGTACTAATCAGTGCTAGGAGATTACTTTGAGATGTTTCAGTATAGATTCTGGGACTTGGTCCCAATCACACTTACACTGTATTTTACAACGGATAAATCAGTTGATTTTGTTGAACTTATTCCTACTACGCATTGGGGTAGATGAGGTCAGGATCAGTCCTGCTCAAAAAATTTATCCAAACCCAACATTGCTGTCTTCAGGTTCTCCTCATGCTTTAATAGTAGGGCATTATTTCACAATGCAGATTTAAACCACAATCAAACCTAAGAAGCTTTTTTTTTTTTTTGAGGGGGGATTTATTGTTTGTTTCGTTGTTGAATTATTATAATGTGCTCGATTAAAGTTGTCGCATACAGGTGACAAGTAACACAGGTCTTGCCCCTAGTCTGATCTGTTTCATGTGTTCTTGCTCTCCTTTTCTGCCAGAGGAAATTCCATCTCTTGCCTGCCTTCATGTGGTGCTGATAAAGCTCTTCCTGTACAGTAGAATTCCTGTTTTCCTTTAAGCAACAGCAGGGTATTGGGAATGATCAGGAAAGGGGAGGAGGACAGGAGGAGAATACACTCAACAAAGTAGCCCTAAACTGTAACATTAACTTTTCCTCACTTATCCTTTTAAGTAGCAGTTCCTCTCTCCGGGAAAGACAATACCCAATGAATTAGATAGTGTACTTGAATTATGTGACTAAAGTACAGTAGTTGAGGTCTTAGCCAAATTTTGCAAACTTTTATGTCTGTCTTCTGTGTTCCCTTTTGTAGTGTTTTATGCATGGTAATGTAGAAAGAATTGCATAAAAATCACTATACATGTTATTTTATATAATCACCTGGTGGTTATTTTTGACAATTCTTGTAAGCGAACTGTTAGAAAGATAATTCTAGAAATTCTTTTGAAATGTGTCATATCAAGGTGATGATGTGGGGTAGGGGATGAGGAAACATCTTTCCCAGTATATAACGTCTTTCAGGGAAAGCTTGCTTTTTCCCCTCACAACTTTGAATCTGTTGAAAGTTTTTCCAATGTTTAAATGTGTGACAGAGAGGGTAAGGAGTGAGGACATACTTCTCTCCCATGCATGTTCTCTTGTACTTCTTGAAACAGTTTCCCTCCTCCTCTCCCCTCACGGCTCTAGTCAGTCTATAAAAACAAAGTGTAAGAAGACAGTCTGCATACCAACTATTTTGATCCTAATGAGAATACCTAGTATCATAAACTGTGCAGGTTGATGGTTTCTCCTCCCACTACCCTGTAGAGCTCATTAAGAAACTTAATTTTTTTTTGCTCCTAATATATTCTTCTGCAGTACTACTCAAACAATTAAATCCAGACAACTCTTTGGAAAGCTTAAAAAAGAAAAAAAAATCTGTCCTGTGCTTAAACAAGTAAATCTTTGTATCTCCTCTACTTGTCTTTGCTGAAGAATTATTACACTGTGCAAACAGTATTGGTGTTTGGCACATTTGACAAATGCTAATGTGTATACTTCCCCCCCCCCCTTCTCCTGGTTTTCTTTCTATTCTTCATTTGCTGTTGGAATGGGAACCGTGGAAAAAATTCCTTGGCACTCTGACACCAGAATCCTTCATCTTGGAGAGACCATGATGATGCAACCTCAACGCACTCAGCAGGCACACCAGGGCCCTCCAGCGGGGGCCACGCTTCCCAGAGTGGAGACAACAGCAGCGAGCAAGGTAAAAGGTCAAACTTTTTCCCTCCGCAAAGTAGGCATGACTAAAATAACTCCAGTTTTTTTCATTATATCAGTACATCTGCCTTAGAGTAAACATGGAGTGGCAGACTTGCAGTATAATCAGCTATGACTTAGGGAGACGGTATTTCCTTTTCTTAACCCACTTAGCTGCATTTTATTATTATTTCAAAGTGAAATATCTAATCTTCAAACAAGCTTTGTAATAACAATTGATTAGTTCTGCCAATTCCTTTACAAATTTGGTTATCTACAGTTTATTTTTGTGTGGTGTAAGTAAATATAATGACAGACATACTCTCCAGTTGCAGTGCAGTTGTTTGAGTTGGGTTATAGATAGAGAGTTTAACCTGTAGTTTTAGCCAGGAAAGAAACTTCTATATGAAGTTATGAAGCTGCTAAATTATATAAAGTAGAAGAAAAACCTGAATCGGACAGAAAAATGTTTCTTTCAATGTTTGCTTATATAGACTTGTTTCTGCTTCTGAAAATCTGGATTTGAATGATAAACAGACATGCACCTGAGCTGCAAAATCTCTGATATACCTATACAGAGAAACCTTCTCAAGGGTTCAGGAATTTTGATTATTATTTCAGGTTTTTTTGTTTTATTTCCTACTGCACCCTATGTGTGGTCATCTGTATCCATGCTGATTGTGTGTCAAAGGCTGTCATTTTGTTATGATAGTGTTTTACACTACTTGTTAGAAGAATAAGTGACTCCAGAAGGTGTAAGAATCAAGGGTCCAGTGACAAAAATTGGGTAATGATGACCTGCTGTCACTCTTGGATCTTGACTCAGAGTTGTGGCTTTTTTTCCTTTTTTTTTTTTAAGACCAAAGTTTAAGGTGGACTCAATGCTTGTTTTTCTTTGTAAACATGGTAAGCTTCTGCTAGTGAGAGAGATATTACCTTTAGAAGGTCTTATGATATGGTCCCACCATGAGATGTTTCTTGTCCATCTGCAGTATTTTGCCTCTGTGTTTTCACCCACGTGCTCAGCAGAGCCAACTGACAGGGCTGACATCCAACAAGCCATGAGGGATCCCAAAACTGTAGAGAGGAGAAGCCTTCAGGGCTAGAGCTGCCGTGATAGGTCTCATGCTGTGGACCACTTCTCACCATGATATTTGCCTTGCTTAGGTGGCAGAACAGATATGTGTTTGCATGTCTGTCACGTGGCCCACTGCTTGGCGCAGAGCTAGATTCCCTTGTCTGTCTTACGATCTGATGTTGTACCAGTTGTAATTCTAGAAACTTGCAAAGTTTGTTTCTGGTAGGGTGGTTTGGTTTTGTCTCCTATTTGTAAGAATTGTTTATACATTTGTAATCTTATAGCTGATAGAAAGCAGTCATGGCACAGGGTGTGATCCAACTCCAACGTAAGTCACAAGGACTTTTTTCTATGAGGTTAGATTGAAGTTGTACAAGACCTAGCGTGAACCATTACAGATTCAGCAGCTAATGATGAAAGGGAGAGCTTGACTGCTAAACACCATATTGGTGTTTATTAACTGGCCACAGCTAATAAATAATAGCTATTTATGCCTATTAGCTGTCTGTAGGCTTTACTGCTGATCAAATGTTTACATGGTATATTGTAGTTAAGATGCTTGGTGTAGCAGATGATCATTTGCATACTTAAAAATTATTCCTTTGAGTGGTCTACCACAGCATCTTCATTCCATCCATAGGTATGAAATTTCCGCAGAACTGTATCTTCACTGTGCCTCAGTAACCCTTTAGAAACTAGAAAAGTTCCTTTGTTGAGCCATATAAAGAAATCCTTTGTATCAATATCCAGGGATCTTGCATTTCACTAGTCTCTGACCCCTTGTCATGTAACTCATGGTGCTTGGGAAATATTGATAAGCATTAGAAAAAGCAGTTGATGACGACTACACCAACTTCCCATTGGAAACTGAGTTTTCTGCTAATATAATATGACTTTAACAAACCTGTTAGACTCATTTCTGCAGAAGGGGAACAACCACTGAAGGACCAAATCAGTCACTAGTGCTGCCCAGTCTAGCACGGTAAAACATCTCTAGTATGCTTCCCCTTGTGCTCAGTTGGGCCTTTTAAAAGAAAGCAGACGTCCGGTGGTAAATCACTCTTCCACTCAGCTGCTGGCAACTAAAAGATGATTCTACCAGCAAAATTCCCATTGGAGATGGCTCTGGATTGCTCTCCCTCTCTTAATCCTGGAAAAGACTAAAGAGAGGGAGGTATGTCTTGAATTTTCATTACGCTTCCTTGAGAGGGGCAGGGTTTACCTTATAATTTGTGAACTGGCAGTGAGTTGGTCTCATGATGAATAGATGCCCTCTTGAGCTATTCTGGTGCAGTTATTTGGGTCAACTTGGTTTCCCTGCAGTTTTTTCAAGAATATCCACAAATGCTACTTCAAGTTGCACTTACCCCAAAGGATTTCTTGGAAATGGGAGCTCATTAAAGAGTCTTGTGTTACATTAGTAAATTACAGCCTTCTGCATTAAGGCCTGGTGGCAGCAGAGATTGATTCACATTAGAGTCAGTCTGTTCTGGCTTTTGAGAGAACTCTTTCCAGGGGTCTCTGCTTTTGCCTTAAGTCTATGATGTGAAGCTCGTGATTTTTTTCTCTTTTAATATTATTATTTTATTTTGGGAAGGTGGGGGGGAAGATGGAAAGGACTTGGTTGAGTGATGACTGTCTTTTGCAGACTTTCTCTGCATGAGGTAGATCTATTTATTGCTTGGAAGAATCCATCCATAATTCTTAAAGTTTGAACCAAATAAAGAATGTTTAGTCATTTTGTCTGTTTATGAGCACAGTCTCTCCATGACAGTGCATGGCTGCCCTCTGGCATCAAAAGGGTTAATATGGTCCATGTTTGGTATTATTAGAAACATGCTGGTATTGAAAGAGTTAAAGAAAGGGCCTTCAGGCAGTAAATGTTGAAAGATTATCCTAATTTTATTAGTGGTAAGTGTCTATGTTGTTCTTAACATGTCACCTCACTTGTTCAACAGAAAACTAAGCTATACAATACACTGATCATTTGACAAACCAAAGTAGTAACAATCTGTAATCCAACAAGCATTTTTTGACTTTATCCCAGTTCAGATTCACAAATGCAAATCAATTCTGTGTAATACTATTTTAGAGATTAGAAGTTATGTAGTAGGTCTGATCAACTTTCCCCCTGCTCTAGAAAGAGAAAGAGTTAAATATATCCAATAATAAAAGTAAAACACTCTAAACATATTACAAAAAGGAGAAGCTGATTTAATGGTCTAATGAGGCCATCTTCCAGAGACTTGTTTTGTGTAGGGCTTGCTTTGACCTTTCACTTTGCTCAGGAGCCCAACGCTTCATTTTTCACATTCTTGCAATTACGTTAACGCTTCAAGCATTTCTGACTCCAAGTCAGCTAGCAACACCAGGCATAACTCAACACTGTGAGTTTTTCTCCTCTCTGTAGATTCATTAACAGGTCACCGGGGTCCCAACTGAAATTTAAAACTGACTGGTTCTGTTGGGTTAGCTGAGTTATAGCAAAGGAGATGGCAGGAAAGGGGGTGAGAGAAGGGGAGAGGAGAGAGAAGACCCTGGGGTTTTGGCCAGGGAATATATGTGTAAAAACTGTAAGTGGAAGATTAAAAGGTGTGTGTAGCTTTATCATCCACCCTTTTCTTTTGAGAGGAAAAAACACATCTGAAAGTCTTCTGGGGTATTGTGTTTTCTTTATCCTTTGTGAAACAAAGTGAAAACAGCCCCTGCCTTTACATGAAAGGCTAAATGACTTCTAGAATTTGGCATCAGTTTGTACCACAGTGATGGATGTGATGCTCCCAGTCTTTAATTCTTATTTAATTTCTTTATGGATATTGCAAATAATGAATATGGCAGATTATGCATGAAAAGTGAGAAATAAATCTTTTTAAGGTTTAAAAACATGTGGTCTATAGGAAAACACCAGGGAATAATTTCAGTTTCATATTTTATGATACCAGGATTGTATATATTTTATGATACTTTGTCATATTCATAGTTCAGTCACTCAAAGGGCCTGTTTTCCTTCAGGACCTTTCAGGAAGGCCAGCATCTTTTTAGGATTAGACTTGGGTGACTAACTGGATCATAAGTGAGAAGCCAGAGACAAGAAACTTCTTATAGGTTATAGGGCAGTAAAAATATAAAGGAGTATCATATCCACTCTGCTTTACCCATGTGAGTGAGTAACTCATTGATATGTGGGTTTCTTGGCTTAGTGGCTTTTTTTGATGGGACTACTTGTGCTGAATGATCTGGCCCTTTATAAATAATATCTGAGGCTACTCTCTAGGGCAAATCTCAAAGTAATTTTGAAGCACTTATGTGCAAGTTTGATGTTTGTCTCACAAATCTGCCCACAATAGCCTTCTTTGGCAAAGATTCCTAATCTGATTCAGGGCAAAGTCAACTGAAATACTAGCTGAAATTACGCATTGTTCACAGGTTAACTCTCTGGATTGGTGCTTGTTGGAAAAATTAGGTAGTATATTTCTTATTCAGCATATACAATCTTGTAATAACTATAGTATTAAATCAAATTTGTTTACAAAACTAGCTGACAAAGCCCAAAGCCCAAATACTATTCTAGTATTGGAAACTCTACTAGAACTACATAAATCTTTGAACCAAACTCCAGTAGTCAGAAAAAGGAGAGAAATAGGTTGATGTTAGTAATAATTAAAAAATAACATATTCGTGCAAAGTCTTTGGAAACAATTCCAAAAGCTAATGCTACAGCTTCTTTTTCTTAGTCCTGTAAATAAGCCTGCTGAAGCTAGTATGCATATTCATCATAATATTCAGAACATAATTTTCCTTTGTATTTTTACTTATAAAGGTATAGGGTATGGTTTTATTGGAAGAGAGCAGTCTTCTATAAGAAAGAAAATTCCTCATAGAAAGGCTCAAACATCCAGACTGTGAAAAATCAAACTTCCTATTAAATA